GGACCAGGGAGGATGATTCAACCACTCGACCACTAGATGTCGCTGAAAACAACAAATTCTACACACTGTGCCTCAAATAAAAACACAATTTACTGAAAAAAATATTATTGAATATTTCTGCTGTATTTTCATATAGTGCCTGGTCACATTATTCTTAAAGTGCTATGACCCTCAGTTATCACATTAGCGGCCATGTTCTTCCTTGCTGACAAACTTCTTTCAAAGACTTTTGTACCATTTTTCAGAGAAGGAAATAAGGGTGATAAATTTTCTCAACTCTAATACACATACGTATGTATTTGCACTCGTAAAGTTTAGGGACACCAGATAAGTTCTACCAAGGACTGGATTGGTTGAAGGCATGGTAGGTCTGGATATCATGAAGGTGGACACAGATAGCAGGCAGTTGATTTGTGCAGTTTTAGGCTAGTTTTTACTAATGCATCTCATAAGTTAAGTTAACAAATATCTCTTAAAATATGTTTATTATTATTATTATTATTATTATTATTATTATTATTATTATTAACAACAACAAATGATAAGCAACAAGTCTTCCACAATTGTTGCCATTATTATTATTATTATTATTATTATTATTATTATTATTATTATTATTATTATTAACAACAACAACAACAACAACAACAACAACAACAACAACAACAACAACAACAACAATAATAATATTATTATTATTATTATTATTATTATTATTAACAACAACAACAACAACAATAATTAAACATTATTATTACTAGGTGTCTTGCTCAAGGACACCATGACACGAGAGCGTTACAACAAGCTGTTTCAAGCCTTTGCAGTCTCGACAACACGAGTGGGATTCAAACCGGTGCAGGGCTTCTGGGGCACTTTTGAATGGTAATTCACTGTGCCACCCTCTAGACCAGTGTTTCCCAAAGTTGGGGTCGGGACCCAAAGTGGGGTCCCAAAACATCTAGGTGGGGTCCTGAAAAGATTTTCTGAATTAATTACATTTTTGCCTTAGTTGTTACAAATGAGTGAGTTTAGTATATTTAAAATAGATAAATGTGGCATAAAAATAT